TCTTCTTTAGGCTTTATTCATACAGGCAAAAGTGGCAACATGCTGCAGCAATCTGTGGCTTCCTGGGGCTGCAATTACAGGAGGTTGTGGACATCTGCAGCCGCTCAGCCTCTACAAAGCACTGACAGGCTGGCATCAGTCACAGCCACCTGACGCTCTTCACATATATCCGCACATCCAGCAGCTAGGGACAGATGACTGGCCCTGGACACAACCTGTCTGTGTCCGGGATTGGACATGTGTCCCTAGCCACAGGTGACTGCTGGGTGTGTGGACACAGCAGTGGCGGGCGGCCACGGCTCCTGTCGGCCTGTAATTGCTTTGTACTGGCTGAGCAACTGCAGCTCTCCGCAACCACCTGTGATCCCAGCCGCAACGTTCCGCTGTCTGGCCCTAATTGCATGTGTGAATAGGGCCTTGCAGTCTGATAGAGTTACTGAACCTCTATGGGCATTTGTGTCTTTTTTGCATTCTGATAAGGGTGTTCATATACAGCTCAGTATTCACAGCTTATTGCTCACTTGTGATAACCGGGCAGTAAGATCATTTATACGGCACAGAAACATTTTTCAGCAGTCTGGAAAATCTTCTTGCCAGTAGGGGCTGGCTAATTCTGCACAGGGGAAAGATTTAAAGGACCACACTTACAAGTCCAATTTATTGCCAAAAATCTTGAGATATCTACTCATGTATAGGGTGCCCACATATATAACCTTGTGGAGCATTTCCTTACCTCCTTCCTACACATGTCACTGGACTCCACATCAGCTGGACAGTCTGCAATGGCTATAGACACAATGTTGGTTAACAACTATGACAAATATCCTTACATGTGGAGAACGCAGACACCGTCTCTTATTTTTGGAAAGTGATAGTAATATAACACATCTAAAATAAAACCCGTGTTTGTAGAGCGGTGATGTTATCGCACATATTGCAGACACACTGCAATGACTTGTCTCATGACTCAGTGGAAAAGTCTTCCGTCATGGAATTCAGTCATAGATTCTCAAACAATTGGGGTCTTCTTTACCTTTTTATCGTTGTTTCTCTCCCCAATGTTTTGGAACCCTATTAGATATACAGTATGTTACAGGGGTTACAATAAACTGCTGAAACATATATATTGTAATAATGTATTACAAATTGAAAGTGAATATTAATATAGTGTTCATGTTTTTGCATACTTGTTTTACCATTTTATTCCATGAGTGTATTTGGCAATAAGGATATACTGTATACTGTATAATGATGATGATTTAAGAAGCAATTGACTTGCCTCCCTCTAGTGGAGAATACGTTCAAATGCTGCTTTGACATGGTACACTGAAAGCATACAAGCTGGCAACATGTGAACCCTAAGAAATAACTTCTCTCATTTGCTCACTTTTGATGTGGTAAGCATACAATTAAACAGGTTTTGTTATATCTGCTCAACAAATACAAACATTTATCAGCTATTCCTGTCAGAAATCCAGCGAGCTGATAACTTCCTGTGCTCTCTGCCTCTGCTGCACTTTTATTAGTTAGCATTCTTCCCAGTTCTCTCTATGGGCTACAGAACACCTCCCCACTAAGTTGAGAAGAGCATGGGTGAGTGTTCTGTATTTCTGTCCTAAAGTGACAACGCTACTCCTCTATTGATACCAAGTGAAAACAAAGGAACAAATGCATGGATAAAAATAAAAAACAAAACAAATGCAGCTCCCACATATCAAGACTGGTAAGCTGCAATAGATTACATTTTTGTTATTGGGTTAAGTAAGATACACTTTTAAAGGAAACTTGCCATTAAAGAAATACGTTGTGTGCCATAGCTGATCTCCTTCTAAACTAAGCCAGTGAGGTGCACACAGGTGGGCTTCGTGACAAATGAAGGTAATAGTTTAGCA